GATCCGATTGGTCCTCTCTGCTCTGGTAGGCGTGGCTACTGTTGTTATATTGGTTGATCACTTCAGATCCATGAAAGCTGAATCTGAGGGAACAGACATTACCATCAGTTCCTCAATAATAAATCATATATTCTTCCATATGGTCACTAGGTAGGGCAGTTAATGTAATGTATATGTAAACAAAGCAGAGCTGCTTATGAACAGCAGTGATACAGTGTTTCCTTGGTTACTGCTGTAAACAAAGCAGAGCTGCTTATGAACAGCAGTGATACAGTGTTTCCTTGGTTACTGCTGTAAACAAAGCAGAGCTGCTTATGAACAGCAGTGATACAGTGTTTCCTTGGTTATCACTGTAAACAAAGCAGAGCTGCACTTATGAACTTTAATATTCATTATACAGAGGCAAGATGAAAAGAAAAAAAATACCATCTAAACTTTTCTAAAGACAGTAAGTTCCCCTCAGACATACATTCATATAAACTCCTACCCCTAATTGAATCGCGATTTTTTTGGCATCTCGATCGATTTTCAACCGGCTCGCGGTTAATCGTTACATCCCTAGAACTTAGCTAGTCTGCTTGTGTAATGAAGCTGTATAGTGCTCCTGACAGAGCTCTCGTTGTTAAAGGGACCAGCACAATTTTCATATTAACGCTATGCATTACTTTAATTTTGTTCAAACGGTGACAGCATGAAATAAATCTACAAGTTTAGAAAACAAAACACTATAAGTTACAGTTCTGAACTGTGTCTGGTTATGTATTATAAATCCATAGTAGTAGAGCAGGAGAAGAATTGGAGATAGCCTGCATGCTGTGATCTGTGATGTTTTATGAACAGATATACACTTAATGTTAAAATGTTTGCAAGTGTTGTGTGTTCCTTTTTGTATCTTTTACAACATGTACAGTGACTAAAACAAGTCTTTTACCACAGTAAAGTGACTTTTACTTGCGATACTTGACTGTTTGCTTTTATTTTCATTGCCTCTCTTTAAACAGTTTTTCTCAAAATTCTGTTCCTGAAAATCATGGTGATCAGCCAGCTTCAGATAGCCATAACTTTTGTTACGTTCAAGCTATGGACGAAATAAAAACAGTTTTGGAAATGGCTTGAACCCAGCTTTTATACAGCTATAATAGGTAAAATTTCACCATGTGGTGGGTTTTCCTACATTGCATCACATGCAAACATGATTGTGTTGCGCCTTTTTAGAAATGCCCTATTTGCAGTTGCATTTTGTCAGGTATGGTTAATTTGCTCAACGTGTCCAGTGTCATGAAGAAAACTAATGGTGTTTGACTGGTCATATGATCGACGAGGTTACCCGCTCTGTGTAAAATGAAACTTTAAGAGAATCACAAATGATATACAATCCAAGATTGATAACAGAAGCAATCACAAGAATAAATGCTCAGAAATATTTGCAAGGGCAAGACAAGACTTTGCAAAGGCTGAATAAAAAGAGCTGCTTAAATAGTCCAGGTAATAGGTAACAGGTGCAAGGGTGATCAGTTCCAGGTACATGGGCTTATGGGAGATGGAGTTCGAAACGGGTAACTAATATTCTGGTGATGGCGCCCTCTGGTGGTGAGAGGGAGGAACCACGGGAGCTTGTAACAGGGTCATGACTTGCCTACTCCTTTTCACTTTTACTCGAGTAGAAAAGTATTAGATTTTTAATGTATTTGCGTATTAATCGATGACTGTTTATTTATATTTTAAATAGTTATATATTGATTCATTTTATATTCTGTATTTTATATATTTTTTTATTAGGTATTTTTTAATTATTGTGAATTGTCAAGTAGCCAGCACTGGTCAGTAAGGAAAACTAGTGCATGCAGATACATAATATGAATTGATCTGCAAATAAGAAAATGTTTTACTGTATTACCAAAACCTGTCATACATTATCAAAACATTAAATATATGAATATATTAATTTAGGTTACTGATACTTCATGTGTGTAAACAAGTGGGGGACAATGTAAAAACAGACATCACACAGGGCAACATTTTGAGAAGAACCTTATGCAAACATACAAGTTTTATATCTAATATGTGCTATGCCAGCAGAGAAGCTGCATGGGCATTAATATGTGCTATTTTAACTTCATGTTTAGTTTATCTAAAACACAATCTACCCCCTTCAGATGGTAATACACAAATATGGACATGTCCACATTCAAGCATTTCATACAGTGGCAGTCATGACCACTCATATGATCTTCATTTACTATAATAAATCTTTAAACTTGGCAAAATAGTTGCCAACATAATTGATAACATAACACTTATTATACGGACACTTCACATTTAATATTATTAGATGATATGTTAATTGTATTTAATAGATTACACCTTCAATAAACCATTTGCAATTTGTTTGTACCATTGGCATATTCAGAATTTTAATTGTGGGATGAGGGCAATCTTAAAATGAGAGGGCCGATCTATATTACATGTAGACTATAATGTCTATATTAAAGGTGCGCATTTTCAAGTGTTTGTGCAGAGTGTGGAAGCTGAACAGCAGCCGGTTTGCGATCACTTGCACTTAAAATACTCCGTCTTTTTTGGTCATACAGATAAGAATAATTACATCGTTCGAATCTGTTAAGGGTCTACATTTGTTTGTGTACACTCACAATAACAACTAAACGTTGTGCTCTGTAAAATAATAAAACCAAACAGGATACTATTTCTGCGGTCTCGGTCTGATGACATCACAGACATGAGAAATATATCTAGTATAGAACACGAAATGTTTTAATAATGAACCATTCAAATAGAAAACAAATATTCTCAGATTATTTCATCCGTATGAAACGTGTATATTGTCAATCTATCAGAGTAATAAACTCAACCATTCCTTTTTCTTTTTTTTTCATTTGAAGCAATTGGAACCGGGGGAGGCGAATATGCAAATAAGGGGCTATGCCACTGGTGTGTACAGCGTTCCCTTTCGAAAGGGAACTCTACGCTGCGTCCTCTAGAGGGTGCTAGGGGAACGCCTTCGGCATGACCGGTGTCTGAAGCATTAGTCTAAACACGACAATGAACTTGACATTGGCAGGCGGCAGCCCATGACCTCATAACTGGTGCTGCCGAAAGTATAAAAGGGCACCTGTGAATTACGTCATCCTCTTTCTTGTCTTCAGGAGATCGTCTGTTTGTTCATGAGTTAGAAGCAAGCGCGTTTTAGCTCCTGAGGGAGCAGAATGCACGCATTGAAAGGGTTTTTCTCAACGAAGCTCCGTTTGCGATGTCCCTATTCTGGAGGGATGTGGGGCGCGCTTTTGGGTGGAATGTTTAGAGCTAATTTTTTGCGATGCGTTCACCTCTGATCTAGCACTCTCTCTCGGGGTTCGGAAGCCCTCACTGCGGTCTCTTCCCCCTCCGAGTGAGAGCTCGCTGCTGCTAACTTCCTCCGATGAGGTTGATATTGTTAGCATTAATACTGCTTTTAGATCGCTTGTTTTTCTCTCGCTACATCATGTGTGGGGATACACGCGATTTATGAGTGGTTTGTCTGGGAGCGGCTCTCGTGGATAGAAGCTCTTATGGAATATAGAATCGAGCGGCTCGAATCTCGCATTGCCGCGGCAACGTGTGCGTTATGGGTCTGCAACAAAATTAATGCGTTGTAAGCTGTTATTCACGATTCTTTTATGTTGCATATATTTTGATGATTTTCAGCTTAACATCCAGACCGTGTTTCACTTGTTTGGTCGTTTGGC